TGATGAACCCGCTATGCTAATACTAGATCCGCCCCTGACCTTAGTTCCCACAGCAGGTATTTTTCCTTCGTCAAGCGTAAGTACATAGACCAAAGGTGTATGGCTAGATATTTGAATTGACTTTGTCTATTTTATTTTTGAAATTTATATAATTTTAATATAATTACCTATTTTTCTTCTTAATATAATTAAATCTGTTTTCAAAATTTTAAAAACACAAATAAAAAAAAAACACGGGGTTTAGGGTCTCTGGGATAATAAAACATCCTAGCTTGTGTGTGTCATTTATTGAACTGTAACCAATCTGATAAAGAGATGAAGATCCTTAGGATGTCTTAATTTATTATAATGACGAAATGTTGTATTGAATTCTTTTTCTTCATGTAACGTATTTAAATATCTATTTCAAGACCATTTATTAAATTTTTTAAGCGAAACACAGCTAAAGGAGGAGAAAATAATGATCAACTCGCCTCTAGATGAAGATGATGGAGCTGGAGTGAAAGTCGACAATAAATTAATGGATGCCATCTCTGCCGACTTGCAATCGGGGTTAAGTTTTAATTTAATTAAACGGGTAAGTGTGTTAGCGGGGTTGTTTTATTTTAAAGAATAGGTGAGTTTTAATTTGACCATGATATTACACGCTTATAAAGTGTTTAAGTTGCTATTTTAAATTTCAAAAATTGGTCTGTTAAATCTAGGGTCATATTCAAGTCAGAAGAAAATTGAGGGTATTTTTGGATTAAAAGGTTAACGGAAGGTATTTGTGAGCCATATTCAATATTTCAAGGATATTTTTGGACCCTTTTTTTTTCTCTTTTCTTTATAAGCATTAGGGGGGGCATAGTTTGGGCAAATCCAAAATCCAAACCGAAATCCGAATTTTTTGAATTTTTGGTTTGGATTTTCGGGTTACGGATTGAATTTTGGATTTAATTTTAAAATTTTTGGATTTCAGATTGGGTATTAGATTGGGTAGTTCAGATTTTTGGATATCCGAAAATCCGAAATTTTTATACTTTATATTTAGTCCATTATGCATATGCCAATAATAATAAGTTCAATATGTTAGAACCGAAAAAGCAGGTTTCATGCGGAAGCTAACAAAGCAAACCTTGAACGACGATAAAGCAGACAACAGAAGAGAAATATACCAAAAGAGACACAAACATTTAACGTGGTTTGGTCAATTGACCTACGTCCACGGCGGAGATGAGCAATCCATTATATAAACGAGAGTACAAAATATCGAAAGAACAACCTCAGGAAGAAGCAAACACAAGTGACACACTAGCACTTGTCCCGTAAAGTTCTCCTCCTAAACACGACTCTCAAATCCCATATGGCTACATTGTGGATGCTGCTGAATGAGCAGGAAGGATCCTCAATTTATAGAAGTCCAAACCTTTCCTACAAGAAAAGGGATTAGCCAGAGATGGGAGATTTATAATTTTCTTCTACAAGAAGAAAAACACAATTATGATAAACATGTTGCCCTTTCCTTCAAGAGATAGGAAAACCAAATATGGTACGAAAATTAGGACAACACCTAACACAATACCCTACCCATAAGATATTATCTCATATATTCAATATTAATTATTAAGTTACTGTCAGAATACTTTCTATTTGGACATGATTTTACTATTGCTACTTCTCATCGGCCGTATTAGTGTTTCTGTTGTATTTGTTTTAATAATAATTTCATTACTTTAATACTTTATTTGAATGATTCCGGCAAGAAGGAGGAACTTTTCAGACAATTTAACATGAATACTTCATTTGAATATTTATTTTTTGTAAAAAGTAGAAACATCTCAACTTATACGCTCAAAATCGAAAATTCATAATATCCAAACCGATTAATCTGAAACCGAACTTAAAAAAATCCGATCCAATCCGAACTTATTTAGATTGGATTTGGATTGTCATTTCTTCAATCCGAAAATCAAAATTCTCATATTCAATCCGGACAGTCCGAACGCCCACCTCTAATAAGCATCATCACACCGACCCTTTTCCGTTAATTTAAAACTTTAGAATAATGAAAAAAATTGAATGCCTATCCGTAATATGACCCATCTTTTAATCCAAAGCAATCTGATTCAAGCTAAAAAGTGTACTCGTCATAATTTTAATGTCCATATGTCGTCTGAGGATTTTTTTAGTAATATGCACATTCACTTTTAAGTTGGTGATTAATCATTACACGACTTACCTGCTTTTGTGGGTTATCGAAATACTCACTAGAGTATTGCAATCTCAACCAGCTATGAATGTGTTTTCCTAAATTATTTTATTTTTGTTCAATCACTCGATATTCCAAATTTACAGGACTCAATTAATTCGAATTTTTGTCAGTAAACTCATTAAGTGGATTAAGCACAATTAATGCGAAAGGTTCTTTATTAATTATGAAGTGAAGCCTTTTAATTATTAATTCTATGTATTTTTGCTAAATTATCAAACATAGATATTTGAAGACAAAGAATCACGCTCAATCTCACTTTCACTAAGTATAGGGAAGTTGAGGTTCTGAGGGTGGAAATGACATAATGTAGCCATTTTAGAGGACTGCTATTTAGAAATTAGTCAATATATCCTTAATCAGTTTTTTAGTTCAATTTTTCAGGACACAATTAGTTCAAATTTTTAGGAAAAATAAGTATTAGCTAATCCCTAATTAGCAACCCAAAAAATGACTATTTGAGTACTTCCCCCAGACGGACAAACAGTATGATGTAGCCAAAGTTGGCAAGGTAAAACTCTCTTTTTTAAAAAAAAAAAAATTTATTTTATAACTATATGATATTCGTAATTAATTGATTCAATTAATTCAATTCGTACCATTGAGAAGTGTGTTTACCCTAAAATCCGAGTAACAATTAAACTTATATTGTGGTTTTAAAGATATGTGATTTAACCCAATACCAATTTATAAATAAGGAGTTAAATATATAAATTGAAGAAATAAAGCGAGTCAAACCAGTATGCAAGCCAAGTCTTGACCTCGAGTTATGGTGGTCTCGAGGTAGGTTAGTAAGAACAACAAAATTATAAGGCAACTCTGATGAATAGTAAGCAATAAAGTAAAAGAGTGTATATTCCTTTGTCAATGAATCGTGTGTTACAAATGAACGGGATCTCCTTTATATAGTAGGGGGTCCTAAATAAGGTACACTTCTAATTATAGTAGGGAATCTCGTTAGACAGCTGTTTAACCGCCAAGTACAAATCCGTTCCGGAATTTACGCCGGGATCTTCGGGCCGTTGCGAGAATCTCGCTCTTTCTGTTACTAAACCATAACGGTATTATCTCGAGGTTGGTCATACTCGGCCTTGGTCTTCATCGAGCACTTCGGTCTTCAAGTTCTATACTCCGCCATCGGGCTCGAGCCAGGTCCGTTTTGAGCTTTTTCTCGAAGCAACTCCCCTAGTCTATGAAATCGGACATACCTAATTTCGACCGTATACAAAGTGTTACCTATCACAGCTTGAAGTAAAAAAAATTTGAAATAAGAAATTTCATTCATCTCACTACAGTGGTATAAAATTCCACGCTTAAAGTAGCAAACTCATAAGTTCCTATATTTAAAGTACATTAATAATAAAGATGATAGAAAGTAGAGCAAGCTAATGAGAAGACGACACCACAAAGTAGAAAATAGGCCGGCAAGAAAGTCCTCCTCCAAACACTTCTATTGTCGTCTTCTATATATTGACGATCATACGAATATAGGCTCTATTTCGTAAATTTTTCTTGAAAGAATTATTTTTCACCCAATCACAAGGGCGGCCAGTGGGTAAAGCCACTAAAGCGGTGGCTTTAGGACTCAGAATTTTGGGGGCCTCATTTTGTTTTCCAATTTTTATTTGATGTCCGATATTTAATTTGGGGCATTGCTAATTCAAATTCGTACCGTATAAAGTCCATTAACGTGGGAACTGTTCCTTATAAGGGATTTTTTCATTCCAATACTGAAATCGAATACTTTCGATTAAAGAAGGAGATATGTTATCCGTCCCACCACAACTCTTTTCGTGAGGCCTCAAATCTTTTTAAGAAAATATTAAGTATTTCAAAGTAGAAAAGTAAAATAGTTTATATAAAAAAAAAGGATTACATTAATCATTAGAAAATATGTAATACACTTTTAAACTCTATTTTTTTCCTCAGGTTTTCATCATTGAAACAAGTATATTGAAACATCAAATAATTCTTTTAATACAAAGTTATCAACTTCTTGAATCATGTTCTATTACTTAAGATCATACTGCACATGTGAGATTAAATGGTTTATGCGAAAAATATTAAGTAATTTTATTCTCAAAAAGCTAGAAAGATCTACTTCAACTAAAAATATTATATATGATTTTTTTAAAAGGGCCTCACATTAAAGTTTGGTTTTAGGCCACCAAACTTATTGAGCCGCCCCTGCCCAATCGGAAAATGACTATTCATTCTATCATTTTCTTTTATAAACTTTAATTAGTTAATTATTACTTCATTGTCAGTTTTTTAATCAAACACCTTTTTTCATGTTAAATTGTATAATCATTTTATCTACGGAAAAGGGTCATATATGCCCGTGACTATTAACGACGGGCATATCTGTCCTAATTCGCATAGTTCACTGGCATATATGGCTCTTTTCCGTTTTATCTAAAAGTTTAAATAGTTTAAATAATACATTTTTATTTTAAATAAGTATTATGTCTTTAGCACGTCCCCTACGTACTATCTTCTTTTTATACCATATTTTCTCTTCATATTCTACCAATCAACTCTTGTTGATATCTTGTTATAAATTGTAAAAAGATGAAACTTCAAATTAATAAATATTTTATAAAGAATCCTTATCGCATTTAAATGATATACCTTTTGACACGCACTAAAAGAAATTACGAAAAAGTTAAATCCCAAAAGTCCTTTTTGTAACGTTAGAAATCCCCATTGTCATGTACACTTATATATAGAGACATGAACATAGGACCAACATCATGAGAGGGATATGTCTTTGAATCTCACACTAATTCTTTCTTTTCTCTCAACCACCACCACCTCCTCCTCCTTTCTCAGCCTTTGAAAAGGAATAAAGAAAAAAGTAAACTCCATTATAGTTCTCATAGATATCAAATTAAGCTAAGTAATACTCCAAGCTATATTACAATGGCCTTAATTGGATTGATGGTGAGCATATTGTGTGTGATTTTGGGGTTGAAATGGTTACTTGGAAGTGTAAATGTTTGGTACTATGAAAAATTAAAGTTAGGTGACAAGAAGAGTTTATCATTGCCACCAGGTGATTTTGGTTGGCCTTTCATTGGTACTATGTGGTCCTTCCTCAGAGCTTTCAAGTCCAGCAATCCTGATTCTTTCATCTCTTCCTTTGTTTCCAGGTCATATCTCTCTCTTCCAAATTTCAAAATAATTACAGTCAGACCTCTCTATAACAATTTCTTTATAAAACAATCATTCATTATAAAAGTCAAGCTTTTTCGGAATCGCTCTTTATGTTATGTTATAATATATGTCCTCTATAACAACACTTAACTATAACAACAAAAAAATATCGAAACAAACGAGGCTGTTATAGAGAGATTTTAACGGTACAAGATAGTATATTTCAAAATTCACGTCTAAATTCTAAATTCGTCATACAACCTTTTTTTTTCTTCTCTAGACCAAGGAAATTAAACTCCAGTCATAAATTCAGATGTCCTAAATCTGAATCATTAAAATATTTTTTCTTTTTTGCATTCTTTATAAAATTTTATAAAATGTCTTATATGTCATGAATTCATATTTTTGCAGCTTGTAGCATTGATTTGCTAGATAATTTTGAAAACTAGCTTAGTATAATCTTAAAAAAAGAGTTGCCTTTTGTATAAGCAAAACTTAATGGAAATTTGCTTGGTGGTTTTGCAAGTTTTGCATTTCCTGTAATTCTAAATGGTAAAAACCATTTGTCTCATTTCTTTTGTTATCTAGTGAGAGACGTTAGTCAATAGGAAAACAACAAAAGAAGAAGAAAAGAGGAAAACGAAAACTATTGCAAGCTTTTCATTAAATCGAGAAAAGAGGCAGAGGCAACATTTTGTCATTTTACCTGTCACTTCTCTTTGGCCTTACAACAAGAAAACGACATTCTCTATAATTTCTCTCATTTTCATATATCCACTTACATTTCCCTTTTCACAATTGTCCAATCCTCACAATTAAAGTTTGGTTACAACTGTAAAGAGGTAGTTACTAGTAAAGAAAAACACATTCTTAGAACTTAATAAAAAAAAAAGTGAGTGAAAAAAAATAGAAGAAGAAAAGACTTGTTTGATTATGGTATTAATCTTATTATTATGTCAAAACTTTTCAACCCATTGAATCTTGAATTTCCATCAACATATTTTGACGTTCTCTTTGATTAGACCATTATTTTTATCGTAGTCAAATTTATACGATCCATATCCAATATTTGGATCTCGAGGACATAAGAATAACTGTACATTTCCATATTTTAGTATTCCAGTAATAGACATCCTGGGATTGGAAAAAGAAATATCTATTTGATAAAAATATTCGAACATACGATTTCTCAATAAACTCTCACTTACTTTTTCCTGTTGAAAAACACTAAAATCTTATCTTTGGAACAACCATCACACAAGAATAGTCTATTCGTTAGTTTGTTGCCACTACTTTGGTAGACAACTTGACAAGATAACAAAGTGCATGTTACATAGATAGGGTATGAACACCTGCTCCCACTAAGCCATTTGCTTTTTGAATACCTAGGAAAAAGGATTCTTGTATTCTTTTGATTTTACACTATTAAAAAGTATTCCGGTACACCGGTTATACGTGGGGTCGGAAAATGACCGGACCATAAGGGCCTATTGTACGCAGCCTTACTCTGCATTTCTGCAAGAGGCTGTTTCACTATTAATATATTAAGTATATATCGTAGCACGAATCCTAATTTATTTTTTAAAAATTACTAATCATATTTATTGTAGACCGTTAGTTGGAGTTACTTTTTAAGTGAGATTATTTTTAAACTATCAATCTAATTCACCAAATAAAAAAAACTACTTTATAGTAGAATCCTCAATTAAAAAATAAAAAATTTTTAAACTATCAATCTAATTCACCAAATAAAAAAAACTACTTTATAGTAGAATCCTCAATTAAAAAATAAAAAGCAAATGCATTGCTGTTCTTATAGTTCATTTTTAGGTCATTCTAGTGTGAATTCCAATCCATTTTTTTGCAGGGCCGGAACTATATGATTCAAAGGAGTTCAGTATCCCTTTCATCGGAAAATTATATTGTGCATATAGATGACAATCTTATATATATTTATAAATTGTTAAATTTCCCATAGTGTAATAGCAGAAGTGATTCACAAATGCGGCTTTCTAGCAATTTTCTTTTTGACACCCTGTTAAAATTCCTGACTCTGCCGCTAATTGTATATTGTAGATTCGGACGAACAGGAATGTACAAGACATTGATGTTTGGTAGTCCAAGTGTAATTGTTACAACACCAGAAGCTTGCAGGAGAGTTTTATCTGATGATGAAGCCTTCAAGCCTGGATGGCCTACTTCTACAATGAAACTCATTGGGAAAAAATCATTTATTGGCATTTCATATGAAGAACACAAATGGTTAAGGAAACTAACTGCAGCACCTGTAAACGGGCACGAGGCGTTGTCGATGTACATAAAATATATTGAAGAAAATGTAATATCAGCATTGGATAAATGGGCATCCATGGGACAAATTGAGTTCTTAACACAGCTGCGAAAGCTTACTTTTCGGATTATCATGCACATTTTTCTTAGCTCTGGAAGTGAACAGGTTATGGATGCCTTAGAAAGGGAATACACAACTCTCAATTATGGTGTTAGAGCTATGGCTATCAATTTGCCAGGATTTGCTTATCATAAAGCACTCAAGGTACCCCTTTTTCTATCTCTAAATAATATGAGAAAATGTCCCTAACTTTGTCACATTGACAATTGTCTCGTAAATGATAAATGTTTTGCGCGAAAAATCATCTATTTGTTAAAATATTCTTTGTACCAGTGTTGTCAAAGGCTCATTTAAGGCGCGCTTAAGCCCTTAAGCTTAGAAAAGCTCAAGGAGGGCGCTTCGCCTCGCTTAAGTTGCGCTTCAGTGTAGGCAAGGCACTAAAGCATGCACCTCAATGCCCATGAGTTCTATCTTAAACTGGACAGTACTAAACAACAAATATTATCATCAAATAAGTGTATTAGTTGTTGTGGAAAACATTAAGAGTAAATTTGTTTCTTTTTCTTTAATTACATATGTATTTTTTTTTTCCTTAGTTGCGCTTTTTTTTTTATAAAGTCCGCACTTTATTTGTGCTTTGCACTTAAACCTGGAGCGTCTTTTGGAGCTTTTCGCTTTGTACTATCTATTTCAGGCGCGTAAAAAGCTTGTGGAAATCTTCCAATCGATCGTGGATGACAGAAGGGAAAGGAGGGAAAAAAGAGGGCCAGGAGAGAAGAAAGACATGATGGATATTCTATTAGAAGTTGAGGATGAGAAGGGAAGGAAATTGAATGATGAGGAGATTATTGATGTTTTGGTAATGTATCTTAATGCTGGTCATGAATCTTCTGGTCATATTACAATGTGGGCTACCTATTTTCTTCAGAAACATCCTGAAATCTTCAAAAAAGCTAAGGTAGCTAAAAGTTTCCATTTTTGTAACATTTTTCAATCTTCACATTGGAAGTGTTCTTAAGAAGTCATATTTTGGATTCAAAAACAGGCAGAGCAAGAGGCAATTGTGAAAAACAGGCCATCTGATCAAAAGGGTGTGACACTCAAAGAAATTAGGCAGATGGACTACCTTTCAAAGGTAATCCTTGTGTTTTCCTTTTAACATTCTTGGATATAAATTCTGATATCTCAAGCCAATCTGTTAATGTAATGAAACCATTTTGTTGCTCCTTTATAGGTGATCGACGAAACGCTTCGTGTGGTTACCTTTTCCTTTGTAGTCTTCAGGGAAGCAAAGAAAGATTTCATGATTAATGGTTAGTTATTATATATGATTTCCTGATATGTTTTTGTTCAAGTATAATCAATTTATGGCTAACACAACTTAACTGTCTTGTTTTCCAGGTTATACCATTCCCAAAGGATGGAAAGTTCTGGTGTGGTTTAGGTCTGTTCATTTGGATCCTAAAATCTATGATGATCCATTGGAGTTTAATCCTTCTAGATGGGATGTAAGTTTGAAAAACCTTCTGCTTTACCTAAATCCCACCACCTCTCAGGGAAAAAACTTATCCACACTCGGTGTTTGTGTTTACAACAATCTTATGAATTCATGACCTGTCTTTACATACATTTATTATCACTTAATGTACACTTCTTTACCTCAATTTTATACTTAACTATGTAAACTTATGTGATTTTAAGGTATAAACATCGAGTGTCTGACAATTTTTTTACTATTCCTCCGGAAAAGAAGAGTGTTTTAACTTGCTTAAACCATCATACATTATGTTAACTTTTTATGCCTTGTGAATCTTTAGGGACTTACACCAAAGGCAGGAACATTCCTTCCTTTTGGAGCAGGAAGCAGATTGTGCCCAGGAAATGACCTTGCCAAGCTTGAAATATCTATTTTTCTCCATTATTTTCTTCTTGATTATGAGTGAGTTAAATCTTCTTCCTTTCCTTTTTTTTCATTTATTTCCCCTTCAAATCTGGTTTTGAGCATTTATAAATATCTTTGGTTGAATATTCATTTGCTGTTTTTTTTGCAGGCTTGAAAGGGAAAATCCTTCCTGCCCCTTGATGTATTTGCCTCATTGTAGGCCTAAAGACAACTGCTTGGGCAGAGTAAAAAGAGTCTTATCAACTACAAATGCATAGGTCCAATATTGAACAAGAAAACCACATTTCTCTCCCTCTTTGTTATGTAGAATTTTTGCTGGATGTGGAAAACCACACCAGCAAAGCAAATGCTTGGAAATAGTTAGGAACCAAAAATTAAAAAAAAGGAAGTCCAAAGAAATTCAGTCATTTTTCCTTTCTTCAACATTTCTTGCTCAGTAGAATTTTGTATACATTTTAGCAAGAAGATCATATAGATAGTGTACATGATCTTCCATTTTGTTAAGAATGAATAAATGCAGAAGAAAAGTTGGTTACATTTGCTGGACTGATTCCTTCTTTGGTAATAATGATAACAACTCTATCTATTGCTTCCTATAGCAGAACAAAACTCAGGGGTGTTTTATGAGAATATTTCCTATAATTCCAAATCAAAGATTTGACAATTTCAATTGTTGATCAATGTACATGGTAATATTTACAAAGAAAATAAGAACAACTGAGATTTATAAACAGAAAAAAGAACTACAACCTGTTATAGTATTTTACTCAGTTCTCAATCATTCATGTCATCTCTGATCAGTCATGGTCATATTTAGGACCAGTTAAGGACGAAAAGAATAGAAGCTAACCAAAAAAAGAGCACTATTGATGAATAAAGAATACTATACCTCACAGAAAACTGGCTAAACACATGGAGAGATCAAATTAGTAACTGCCTCTAGAGGCTGGGGCTGTGGAAACTTACTGAGAATAATAGTGTGTAATGAAGTTTTCCGAGGACTTTATCGTTACAGTAAATTGCAGCTATAAAGCAAACGCGAGGCATAAATCAGCATTGCAATTGCCAGAGAATACAAGCATGGCCTGTAGGATCAACATCCTTCACAGCTTAGAGAAGGCATTGCTTCCTACAAAGTTTCAAATTCCCGGTTAAAAGCCGAGAAAAGACAGGTCAAACCATAAGTATACAAGGCCATAACCTCCACAGGGATACCATAAACTTCTGCTGTTCTATGACTATATATTGCATTGAATGGAAAATTTTCAATGCAAAATACAATAACAATTAGTTAAAATAAAGTAAAATATGGTAAAGATGGCTTCTGCAGTACCAACTTCTGTAATTTGGATCTGATAGAAATGACCTAAAGCACAAATGATCTGCAAGTTTAGCGCGGTAGATCATTGCACGTCACCATATATTGATCAATTATATGAACATGAATACATATCAATGCAGCTCAAGATTCTCATATCAGCTGCATAAATCTAAATAGTAAGGGCTCAAAGGAATTAACTTTCAACTCCCTCAAAGCCAAGATGATTCCTAATTGTGGAGGCTATTTAAATGAATAACAATGGATATTTGAGTTGCCTTCAACTCAAACATTGCTCATTTGAAGCTAAATGGTACTGCGATATCAAGAATTACAATAGGTGATTAACAAGAAAACACCAAATAGGTACTAGTAATAAGCCAAGATGTTTGTTTAATAGCTTGTGGAAAGATTATGATTAATCAGAGAAAATTCCTGTCATAAACATACTTGATCAGAAAAAGCAAGAGCAAGAGCAATACACCCCTAATCCTTTATTTGCACACATATCCGTTAATCCATCTTTAATTGATGCATCCGCATTAATCAAAAAATTAATAAAGTACCTGTCGAAGCGAGCTTCCAAGCACTAACAATAGATCAGTCATATTTGTGTGAAATGATCCTTAATCCCAATTAGGCTAATAGCTCAAGAAAATGCACTAAAAAAGGAGCTCATGAAAATAAGATTCTAGAGTAGCTCAATCTCATGGTGTTAATGTATTAAGCTTGACCTCAATAGCTCGAGCTCATAGGTAATGTATTAAGTTACTAGCTCGAGTTAATTCCAATGACTTGGAGAAAAGATCTTTTGGGAGAATTCTACCCATTTGGTCATAAATTTTGGGTGCATTTTTTTAATTTTTTTTTTTTTGAAAACACTGTTTGTTAACATGATCAATTTTTGAAAAAAAAAATTGAATTTTTTTTCAAGGTCTCAAAAACAGGTTCCGTACAGTTTTTGAGTAAAAAATTTTCTTTCACTCACAAAACTTCAAGTTCTTTTCGAATAAAATGAAATATCCAAACACAACTTCAACTTCTTTTTCAACAGAACTTTAAAAACTCTTTTTTCAAGTTTCGACCAAATCTATAACGCTAGCTTAATCTCTCAAACGTGAGAAACCCCCAATTTGAGGCTTTTTATTTTGGAAATTAAGTCATTTTATTGCCAAGTAAAAGTATTTACAGTAAGACAAATCGAAATAAAACTGAAGTTGGACATCCCAACTTCCTATACAATTGACATCTTTCCAGCCCCATTCCACTATACAACCTGCATCTCATCTCTAAAGCTACTGCAGCAACTTATGGATAGAAACTAAACTTCTGGAAGTGACTTTCTATCTTCTTGCACCATTGATTTCTGCCTTGTATGATCAGTTTCCATAGAGTCTCAAGGTTCCTTTCTTTACTCTGGAAAATACTTTGATTTCTCTCTTGCCATAGGTAATAGATGCATCCACTTCATTCCATCCTGTAATGCTTTTAGAAATTCCTGGATATACCAGGACTTTAGACCAAATTAATGCTGTAAAGCTACATTTGAAAAACAAGTGGTCATGTGTTTATCTTTAGTGTCACACATGGAGCACGTTTAACTTTACAAATGTAAAAGTTAAACCCGTTAATTATTTATTTTCTAAGTGAATAATATAGCTTTTATTTATATTTGACTATTTTTTAAAAAGTTTATCATTCAACCTATTTTTTAATGAATAATATGGATAAATAATTATTTTTTTAATCTATTTTACCACCACTGATTATTTTCTTTCAGTTTAATGTCTAAATTTTCCTACCTTAAAATTCCTTATTTTTAAAATCCTTTAGAATTGTCAAACACCTTTTCTAGATCTCTTTAGATATGTATGACTTATAAGGCCATTCAACGGATCATATCAGTTTTTAAGGGAGAGTTACGTAGAAATAATTATCTTAACGTTTTGACTTGTTATACCTCCTTCATTATGATTTCAAATATTACAAAACTTTTTCGTTCTTTAATCTTTTATTAAAATTAGACCAAACTCTATGAATAGACAAGTCTAGCTTATGTATTAAGTAATTTATTAATTTACCTTTAGCTTCTTTTTAATGCATGAACTTTAACTTTCAAGTCACTTAACTTCTTTAAGTTATATTTATTGTTATATAAATAGTGATGAAAAAAATGAATGACAAAAGACAAAAAAGATCTACTAAGGATTTATTTACTTCCTTTGTAGCTTTTTTGATATGTGGGCCAGGAGGAACTCAACAGACACGTGGCAGGCAGGCTGAAAGAAGGATCGAGCCAGAAGCCATCTCCTGATGACAACTAGCCAAGTAAGTGTAAACGAGTAAGATAGATGAACAAAGGCATGACTTACCATCGTTTTAGAACAGGAAAATTATCATATAACTAAGATTTCCTCCTCTAAATCACAAACTAAAAGAAGTGAATTAATTCAATAATTATTTCTGATAGTTTTGACGGCCTCTGATTCAGGATTTGAAGGTTGCGAGCATACATAAGCTCAATCAGTATCGCATCGTGTTTTTATCTTAAGGATTCCAAGCGAAATATATGACTATTTTTACTACACTTATATATTTAAATTTTCTGTCGAAGTTAACGAGATCCGGTGATCCCTCTTCTACGAGCATAGGTCCGTCTCTAGCCAAATATTATGTGGATATTTGAATTGGCTTATTTTAGTACTTATTGGCTTTATAAGCACTTTTCTAGTTTTTGTGCTGTTTGATAATAATAAAAAATATACTTAAAAACTAGTATTTTTAGACATAAAAAGTACAAAAATAAGCCAAAAATCAAAAGTTAGATATTACCAACTTATAACTTAAGATTTTTAAATTACTTTTTAAAATCCAATCCAAATACCCTCTAACTTAACCCACCAAATTTTTGAAATAATAAGTAGGGGATAAGTATTATTTTCTTCAAATCGTATCAATGTTTAAAAATCAGCTGACGACAATATAGAAAAAAGAAAAAAAGGTGTTTCACGTGAAGTCATCCAAGGACTTGTGTTAGCTCTGAAAAGTATTGTCGTCCTTGATACATGCAAATAATTTATGGTTTTCTTGTTTCTAGCTTTGGGTAGATGACCACTGTGGGCCAAATTCATTACTCCAATAATTTCTTGTCTTTGCCCTCTCACCTCAGATAACCACAGACACCATCTCTTACACCTACCACCCTGTTTCCAATCTTTCTTCTCTGAGCAAAAAGATCCAATTTTGAACCAAGAAAACTATGGATCTGCCACCAGAAGAGCTTCAACACTTAACCTTACCATCAATTGTGAAGGAATCGATTGCCATACCAAAGAGATCTCCACAAACTTTTTACCGTATTACTCTGAGCTTAATCTTGCCGCTCTCTTTTGCAATCTTGGCTCATTCCCTTTTCACTCATCCAATTCTTGATCAGCTCCATGAAAACCCAAAATCCTCTCACGCTTCTCAATGGACAAAACTCCTCTTCTTTCAATTCTGCTACTTGGTTTTCCTCTTGGCTTTTTCTCTCCTTTCAACTGCTGCTGTTGTTTTCACTGTCGCCTCACTTTACACTTCAAAGCAAGTATCTTTCTCCTCTATAATCACTGCTATTCCTAGCATCTTGCGACGTCTGTTCATAACTTTTATATGGGTTTTTCTATCCATGCTTGTTTACAACGCTGTCTTGTCCTTTTTCATTGTGCTCATGTTAATTGTCTTTGAAAACAATAACAGTGTAACTCTGTTTCTCATCTCTGTTTTTGTGCTCTCTGTTTTCTTCCTCATAGTGCATGTTTATTTAAGTGCCTTATGGCATCTTGCTAGTGTTGTTACTGTTCTTGAACCAATCCAAGGGCTTGCTGCTTTAAAGAAAAGTTATGAGTTATTAAAGGGAAAGATGAGGATTGCAGCTGTAATGGTTTTAGGGTATTTGGTTATATTTGGTCTAACTAGCACTGCTTTTAGTGCTATTGTTGTAGATGGTGGTGCACATGAGGAACATGAGTCTGGTTACAGTCTATTTGCTAGGATTTTGGTTGGTGGGATCTTGATTGGTGTGCTTGTGGTTGTGATTTTGGTGGGGCTTTTGGTGCAAAGCTTGTTTTACTATGTGTGTAAAAGTTATCATAATGAAAGGATTGATAAGAGTGCTTTGTATAGTCATCTTGGAGGGTATTTGGGTGAGTATTATGAGCCTCTTAAAGGGAACATGCAAATTGATGATAG